GAAAAATTAAGAAACAAAATAGACTACCATTTTCCATTTCAATAACAGAACATGAAAACAGAAGATCAGTAAGGAAAAAGGGGACTTGAATGCCATACACCAAATATACCTAGTAGATACACAGAGATCATCCCATATAACAGCAGTAGAACATGTATTTTTCTTAAGTACGTATGTAACATTATGTTATGTCACCAAACAAGTCTTAAAATATTTTGGACAACTGAAACTACAGCAGTTATATTTCCCAAATACAATGGAATGAAAACAACAGAAGGAAAAGTGGAGAATCCACCACTACAGGGAAATTGAACAGCATACTCTTCAATTAGCAGTGGGTTAAAGAAGAAATCAAATAGAAATGGAAAAATATCAAGACAAATGAAAAGACATTTAACATACAAAAATTTAAGTTTATAAATACACACCTACATTAAAAAAGGAAGATCTCCAACAACTTGATTTTTATAGCTAAAGTAACTAGAACATGAGGAGCTAACTAACGCCAAAGTTAGCAGAGTAAGGAAAAGTGAAGATTAGAGCAGGAATAAATGAGTTGAAAATAGAAAAAATAAATGAACTAAGACTCTTTTTTTCAAGAAAATTGATAAACTATTAACTAGACAGAAAAAGACACTCAAAATTAGAAGTAAAAGAGGAAACACTGCAAATGATGCTACAAAAATAAAAGAATTATAAAAATTACAATCATACACCAACAAACTGAGTTACTTAGAAGCAATGCATAAATTACGAGACAAATAAAACTCATTAAGATTGAATCATGGAGAAATAAAAAATCTGAACAAATCTGTAAGTAGGAAGGAGACTGAGTGAGCAATGAAAACCCTCTAAAAACATAAGCCAAGGACCAGATGGCTTTGCCAATGAATTCCTGATGCCGACCCCGAGGAGAGAACACTTCTAAACTCATGAGGACCGCATGACCCCTGATAACAAAATCAAAAAACAAAACAAAAACAAAAACTAGAAGAAGGTTACTAGCTAAGGACCCTGATAAACACAAATACACAAATCCTAACCAACTTAGCAAACTGAATTTAGAATGGGGGAAGAGATCAATTTATGGAAATCAGCCAAAGTGATATGCTACATTAGCAGAACACAGGGTGAAAACAATCAAATGTCTATCTTAACAAATAGTGCATGAAAAGCATTTGAAAAATTCAGTATTCTTTCATGCTGAACACACTGCACAAATTAGGAATTGTCTGACATGATCTTAGATACATACATAGAAAACCTAATGGTTTCACAAAAACCTTTTAGAATTAATAAAAGCAGCAGAGTTGTACAATACAAAATTAACACCCCAAAACCAGTTGCATTTCTATGTAGAAACAATGAACAATCTAAAAAGAAAATTAATAGCCTATATAAGACAGCATTAAAAAGTACAAAAAAATTCCCAAAACTAGAAGAAGGTTACTAGCTAATGACCCTGGTAAACACAAATACACAGATCCTAACCAAAGCAGGATAAACCTAAGCAAGGAGCCAAAAAACTTAAAAATTGAAAAGTATAAAACAATGTTAAAATAAATTAAAGAAGACACAAATGGGAAAACATGCTGTGTTTAGGGATTGGATAACTTAATATTATTTAAAAGGTCTATACTATTCTGTAACAATCTATAGATTCAATACAAACTCTATTAATACTCTAAGGCATTTTTCCAGAAATATAATCCCTAATTTCATACAATATGACAATGTCAAATAGCCAAAAATAACTTAGAAAAAAAAATGTTAGAGGACTCACATTACTAACTATAAAATTTATTTTAAAGTTGAAGTATCAAAAAAAAGTATGGTACTATAGTAAAACACACCAAGGCAGAACAGAGAGCCCCAGAAAATCCCACACATGAATGGTCAAATAAACTTCAACAAGGATATCAGTGATATACAGTGGTTAAGAAACTGTTTACATATATAAAAGAAAGTAGATCTATATATTATGCCAAACACTCACACACACACACACACACACACACACACACACACACACTCAAAATGGGTTAGAAATCTAAATATTGAAGATGTGAAGCCACAAAATTCCTAGAAGAAAATACAAGACAAAAACTTTACAACATTGAGGGTGGCAGTGACTTCCAGAGAGGCCACAGAAAGCACACTGAATAAAATCAAAGAAAGCTGGAACTGTATTAAACTAAAAAGCTTCCAGACAGCAAAGAAGAAATGAACAGTTTTCTGAAATGGTAACCCGGGAAATGGGAGAAAATATTTGCAATATATATGATAAGCAATCAATACTCAAAAACATAAGGAACCACTCAACTTCAACTACAAAAAAAAAAAAAAAAAAAAAAAAAAAGCAACCTATTTGAAAAAGCAAAGAACTGGAACAGAAATTTCTCTAAAGACGTACAAATGACTGAAAGATATTGAAAAAGATGCTCAACATGACTAATTACAAGCAAAATGCAAATGTGGCATTATATATAAATAAATTGTATGCCTATATAAATTGCATAAATAAATAAATAAATTGTACTGTTTCCCACCCCTGGTACAATACCTAACACCAGGAGGAAGGACTAAAAAAGTTACCAAGATTTGATACATATAGCACCAAGATGAATGTAATTATTATGTGTCATGAATATATGCTACTAAAAAAATACCTGACACCTATAACTTAAAGGAGAAAGATTTATTTTGGCTCACTGAGGGTTCAGTCCATGGTTGCCTGGTTCCAAGGCAGAACCATCATAGCAGATGGGCCTGGCAAAGCAAATCAGCTTAGCTAATGGTGGCCAGGAAGCAAAACAAGGGAACAGTTCCTGAGACGGAGGGCACCACGTACAGTGCCCCAAGGTCACACCTCTGTGAACCACCCGGACACACCTGGAAATGTGCTTCACTAATACCTCAGACAGCTCTCCAGCCATACTTATTTCCCTGCAAATGTTCCTATAACCTCTGGAGATTTCAGATTGATAGAAATGTCATTTGTATGTTAATGAGATGACTAGTGGCAGGTGATCCTTGGATGGCCTCAGGACAAAGACTGGTAGCCAGAAAGATCAAATTAGAATTTATCGTCCCAAACCCTAATCCCCAGCCACCTAAGTCACCAACCAGATAATAAATGTCAATGATTTCATCAATCATATTTACATAATGAAGTCTCCATAAAAACCCAGAGGAGAATGGCTCAGAAGAGCATTCAGAGCTGAACAGATGGGGGATCCTGGAGCGAGGTGCACCTGGAGAGGGCATGAAAGCTCTGTGCCCTTCTCCCATATCCTGCCCTGTGTACCTCTTCCATCTGGCATTCATCTGTATCCTTTGTTGGATCATTTCCCATAAATGCATAAATAAGGCTAAAATGTCTCCCTGAATCCTGTGAGCCATTCTGAGAAAGGGAGGATGGGGTCATGGGAACTTCTGATTTACAGCTCATGGGTCAGGAGGACAGGTGCCAATCTACTACTTGTGACTGGCACCTCAAGTGGGTGGCAGTCTCTTGGGACTGCCGCCCAGTCCACGGTATCTGAAACTTTCTCAAGGCAGATGCTATCAGAATTCGGGTGAATTAGAAGACAGCCAGCTGGTGTCTGCTGGAGAATCAGGGATGACAGAAGAATTTGCATTGGGTATGAGAGGACAGAGTGGGAGAAATAGTTTGGATTTTTCATATTTATAATAACAATTCAAAACTACAACTAAATTTCCACTCATAAATGTTAGGGTGGCTATTATAAAGAAACAACGTGTTAATTAGGACCTTAGGAAATTAGACTCTATGTACTGTACTTGAGATGTAAAGTGGTGCAGTGACTTCGGAAAGCAGCATGGAGTTGTACACTAAACGGGAGTGTACAACCCAATAATCCTAAATTTTGGTATTCGTCTAAAATAAATAAGATAAATATTGTATTGTGAAACAATAGCTGCACTCCGTGTTCACTGCAGCAGTACTCACAATAACCAAAGGGGTGGAAGCAACCTAAATTTCCATGGTGAACGAAGGGTTAAAAACTATGGTGCCTACATATAAAGCCATACTATGCATCGTTAGAAACAAAGGCAATTCTGAAAGAATGCTGCAACACGGATGAGCTTTGAGGACCTTATGTGACTCCAGATAAGTCAGTCAAAGGACAAATTTTGCAAGGTTCCTTTTACACTGTTTAGTGTATTTAACATTATCTAAATCAGCGAAACTCATAGAAGCAAAGTAGAATGGTGGTTGCCAGGGGCTGAAGAGGTGGACTTAACTGCTCTTCAGTGGCTGTAGCATTTCACTGAGACAGATATCTGGCGTTTTTGTATGACGTTGTGCTCACACTGAACAGTAGTGTAAAAACACCTTGCATCAGACACCACCAAGGGCAGTGTTGTTACTGCCCGGCTTATCAAGTGCGCTGAAATCGTGCTGGGCTTTTCTTGGAAGCAGGGTTCTCTTTCAGGTCAAGAATCCAGTCAACACGTTACTTTTCTATCTTTACCTACACAGAGCAAGGGAAAGACTATACTTCAAAGAAGCAGAACCTATAACGCGAGCCTCACACATATCTCCGGAGTCCGAGACTATAAAAAAAGGATCCTGGCAGAGAATAGACTCCAGTGATTTGGAATACACCTTCACTCCTAAATACGAACGTTTCAGGAGTAAAAGGACCTTTATGCAGGACTGAAATCAATATAGTTAAATAACATATATAAAGAAGGCTATAACTAATCTAGTTAAATATCCACATTTGAGCCATTTGAGCTCAACTTTATGCTCAAAAGTTCTAAAGGAACATTAGAACACAGCTCATCTATTCCTCTGATCGAGTGTGCATTGTGTACACGTGTGTATCTGAACAAAATATTTCAACAACAGATAAACAGACACGATAAAAGTGAGCAGTCTTGTGGGCGTTTGATGTGAGTTTTTGTGCAGAGTATTTGAGGGGCACTCTCATAAAATTTTGTGAGTTTCATTTTCTATCGTTGTAGTTTACCTTTTGCAAGTAAAGAACTGTTCCCTTCAGGACAGCATAAAAGGTTTTCCATCCTCGCTTTCCTCGTGGAGCTGGAAGAGAAAAAAATGTAAAATTTTATTTGAAAGAAATCAGCATTTTAGAATGAGAAGCTAAAACATAACAGGATGATCGTGTTCCAGCATCCCCATCTTATTAACTATCAAAGTGAATAACGATGAGCTTTATGGTGTGCCAGGCAGTACATTTCCCGTACATTTTCTTATGTGCTCCTCACATACTCTTGCCAGGGAGGTACTATGAATCTCTTCTTTTTATAAAACGGAAGCACAGGGAAATAATTGGCTTGTAGTCACATAACTAGGAAGAGAAAAATCTGGAAATGGAACCCAGGTAGTATGGCTGTATCCTCTGCCTTCCAGTAGAGATGACTTTAAAAAGCCAGATTGGAGCTTAAAAATTAGATTATAAACAGACCATTCATCCTCTCTTGGCATTTCTCTCACCCCCCACTGGATTATAGCCTTAACTGTTGTCACTCCTATTCCTATCACAACCTGTGCAGATCTTTGCTGTAGCTCTTGCTGCAATCCAATTTTTTTTTTTTTTGTCTAAACTTCTTTCATTACCCTTTGCATGGCTTGAGAGCAGGTATTTGTCTTTGGAATCCAGAGAACCTAAAGCAAGGCAGACATTAGGCACCATTGCAGACATTCTCCAAATTAATTTTTTTAGAAGCTTCCATGCTTTCTTGTTTATTTTTTGGAGTACAAAGAAGAATATTTCTACCTACTTAATGAAATTGGCCTAGCAAAAGTATACATTAGCAAAACAGTTTTCTGTTGAGTCTTAATGCTAACAGAATTAAAATCTGTAGCTAGATAATGTTATCACCTAAATGTCATTTTTCTAAACATCTCAGTCCAAATACATAGGGAAGACCATTTGTTTATATTCTTTCTCAAATATTTTACTGTCTTTGGGACATCTGACTTAGATACCTTATTCACTTAGGAAGTATATTATTAAATTAAGCAAACCACTTAAATCTCATTTGACTGAACATTCAGAATTCTTAGGCTGGAAGCGCTGTGACTGTCCACCTACAGAACTCCAGTGCTCTGCCAGCACCACACTGAGACATCCACCTGGCAAGAAAGGCCTCACAGCATCCGCTCTGCAGGTTTCCAGGGGAAATTAAAAAATACCACCCCTTCTGTTTCCACTAGGGGAGGTTTACAAGTGTGTACTCAAAAATATGTGATCAAAATAATCATACTGCAATCTTCTCCTTAAAGAAGACCAGAGACTGATATAAAAGAGAACCACAGATCCAACATAAAATATTTACTACACTGTTCAACAGATGACAAATTCTGACACTACTTGGGTGAGAACTCAGCACACAGAAGTGACCGGGAGCCATCAGAGAGCAGGGTCAGAGGCACAAGTTCTGGTGGAGGTGGCAGAGGAAAGCAAACTGGTTGGTTTCGAGCCCCTTGGAGACCTCAGCTTGCTGTGCACGGGTCCTCCCTCACCCAACCCTGCCTTGGAAACTGCTGCCCAGGTATTCCCTATCTCAGGGAGTAACTCTCTGCTGTATTTGAAAATACCCATCATTTGCACAATTTAAGACAAAGCACTGGCTAAACGGTAGAAGGAACTTAGGAGAAAACCTTTCATTTAGATATTATTTTTTGATAGGATTAAAGGTTCCAGGCAATTAAAGGTTTCTTTGAAGCTCTACAGTTAGTTTAGTAGGCTCTTGAGATCTCTTCAGTTCAAAACATACAAATCTATCTTTCAGCTTTCAAAGTAAAATCTGTCTATGGATCCGTGTAAATGATTCTTGTTATTAGCATACAAAATCTCCTAGAAACAGATTCCACAGAGCTCTCCAGGTGAGATGTGATCTTCAGCATCCCTCCTGAGTTACTAATGCTAAGTCACTCTCTGCCGCACCATTACTAACCCATCTTTCCATAACAGTAGGATTTAGTCTATGTCAGTTAGTTTAGTTGTTTAAGACACAGTGAAGCAATACATACCCTGCTCAACAAGGCAACTTAGAAGCAAATGCTAGTCAATGTACTTCTAGTGTGCTATAAAAACAGTGCTTGAGTGAATGACATGTGCCAGTCCACCTAACTCACATCATGATCCTAAGAGCGAGGAACTGTTATTACTTCCAAAACCAGGCAAATGTAAAAAAGTGGAATTCAGGGAAAAGGGGGACATTGTGGGAGGCTGACAGGGCACTCTAGTGGCACAGCTAGCTCTTGGGACTCTAAAACCCCCACCCCACATGTGGAGCACAAAGAGTTGATGTCAGGAGGGAAGAGCACTAGTCCTTGTGTGGGCTGTGGAATATGAGCAGAAACTAAGGACACAGCCTATGTGCTGTGAAGTACATGACAGAGGGTAAACAACTGTCACCACAGCTGTGTAATGAACACAGTGAGAGGAACGAGGGAAAGAATTACCAATCTAAAACTCCATGTTTCTGACCAAAAGGAGAGGCATGGTAGGGAGTTGGTATACAGATGTATTTTAACAAATACCCAGCTATCTACTAGGAGAAGGGGTGTTTACCAGACTTAATTCAAAGATACCGTCTGTATGTCTGGATCACGCTTTCCTACCAGTTCATTATGTCAAGTCCAAAGATACTCAATTGCTTTCCTTCCCGAAAATACAAGGGCCTTGTAGTGTGTTCATTCTGATCATCTGCCATCATCATTATATGAGAACAATGTCTATTAATCTAGCTTAGAAAAACTACTGAAATAGACATCATTTCTTAAAAAAAAATGCTACTTTTCCATTTAAGATTTACCCTCTTGATTACTTTACTTATTACATCTTTCCATACTTCAGATTTTTCTTCAGATGTCCCCTTAAATTGCTTCTTGAAGTCTATCCTTACAAGTTTCTTTTTTTGTTTGTTTGGTTTTTTTCCGGTACCAGGAATCAAACTCACGACTTTGTGCTTGCCAGGCAGGCGCTGTGCCGCTGAACTAAATCCCCAGCCCACAAGTTTCTTTCAGTCAAAATCTTTCAGTGGTGATGGAAGAGGCACTTTAGCTATTTAACTCATAAAAAGACAGCTAGTAAGGGACAGAACCTAAGCTAGAATCCGCTGGTCAGTACTACAAAGAAAATAACATGCACACTGGGTTAACTCAAGCTATGTGTACTGCTAGGCTCAGGAATATAAAAGCAAACATGTATAATAAAATAAAAATTAAAAAGCAAACACTGGAAAATAATAAGAGTTAGAACTCTGATCTGGAAAGGACTTCCTTAAGACAATGGAATGCATAGAGTAAAATGTAACCGGTTTTCTTTGAACTCTGCATTAGAAAGCCTAAGCCTAATGGGTTATTTTAAACCCAAGGGGACACCTATGATAGATGACCGCTGGCCACTGAACAAATTCTCACACTCTACTTACCCCCAGAAGACCTAGTCCAGGAGCTCAAATGACACCCCACTCTCTCAGGGATTCCTCCAGACCACCCTCCCAGAGCTTGCTTTCTTCTTATACTTCCAATAAACACGTCCCCTTGAACTCCTTCCCTTCTCCCCAAGATTTCATTTTTCAACTCCACGAGGCACTGGACCCAGTTTCTGGGGGTGTCAGCTGTTTCAATAGCTTTGTTTTCTACTTTTGTTTATAAAAAAATGATCTTCATTTCACAAAAATAGTCTAGATAAATAAATCAATAGTCTAGACTGACAGTTACTTTTTCTTATGAAGATACCATTTCACTTTCTTGACAATGCAGGCATGTCTATCCTGAAGCTAAAAGGTATGTCAAAACAGGAGATTCTTTTAGCTTAACATGTGGCTTTTCTTTGTGCTGTCTGTGTTTTGTTTCAGACAACTTGAAACCATTGCAGTTTTGAATACTGTCTTATTGACTCCATTGTCTCTGCTACCTTAACATTCCAACACTCTATTCTGATTTCTTCCTTCCGTGTCTGTCTTCACTACCTCTTCATATTTTCCCCTTTTGTCCTTTGGTGCGCAAGGCTGTGCAGTTTTATCTCATGTACTGTTTGGTCCCCCAAACCCAGAAATGCCTTGTTGGGTTAGAGTCCCCGACTGAGCTTACCTCCCTGGATTTGTACACTCATGCTTTACTCCTGGCCTCCCCACACTTGCCTTTGATAGTCATGGATTCAACCAGTTATTCAAGTGGTGTTTAAAAATATCTTCTCTGTCGCTTTTACTGCTTCATAACGGGAGAGTTCAGAATCTATAGGACATCTCATTGTGAAGAATAGACTCTCTGGATCTTTTTTTCTAAGAATTTATTTTAAGAACTTAATCTAGAGAGAATTCATTCAGATCAGGACACAGGAGACACTGGGGCTGAGGACAGGGAGAAACATGAGCAAGAGGAAAAGGCTACAGCAATAGCCCAGATTGGGAAAAGGGGCCAAACTCAGATAGACATGTACAACAGATTATGATAAAGAACCAGAAGGAGAGAGGAAAGGTAGTAAATCTGAACATCTAGACTGCAATGCTGCATCCATTGGGCTAGCACTATACTCATATAATGTACGATACAAAAAAAAAAATCCTCGGGTAGGTATTGCCCTGATTTCATGTTAACATCTCCATAATTAATTACATTAGAAGTCCTCAAAGGTAAGCCGCCAAGGAGGCTGTCGACTAAAGATCTCAAAGCTCTCACAGAAGGCAGTTGAGCTCTCAGGTGGCAGTCCTTTGCAACGCTCAGATCTGTTGATCCTGTGAGGTGAACAATATGGCCGGAAAGTAGACGGTGAGGCAAGAAGGAAATACAAATCTGGGACTTCCTCTGATCTGTTAATGCTAGGGCTGCATTGCTCATGGCTCACGGCTACAAGTCTCAGAAGAGAGGTATAACACTGCGTCTGTGCTCTGTGGTGTTGTCAGCCTAGTATTTCTGGAGAATGATAATAAACTTAATGACTTCAATAATTATAGGACTAGTAATAGCCCTACTCAACGTTTACTGAGCACATACTGCTTAAGTTCCAAGATTTGACATGTACAAATTAAGGCCCATAGTCACAATCTTCCTTTATACATGTGAAT